GTTAAGTGAGGAGAGGCTGTACTTATAAAACTGAGATATGGCCTCAAATATAACCTCACAATGGACTTATCACTAAGTATGGGAATGTAGGGAAGATTTAATCATGTCACATGCAATTTTTTTTGTTTTTAAGAGTAACATGTCATGCATAGTTAAATTCTTCACAAATTCTATAACCCAAAAGTTATATACATATTGCAATTAATTATAATACTTGTGAAGCTTGATCCAATTATACTTCATTCAACCATGGACTTGCTCGATACAACCTTTTTGGCTTTTCTATTTTAAAAAGGCCAAGAAGGTTGTATTAAGCAAGTCCATGATCGAGCAAAATATAGCATTGGTTGCAATATGAATGTAAGTTCAGGGTTGTATAAATTAGGTTCATTTATAGTGAATAGAATGTGTGAGGATTTTAACTATGCCTGACATGTCACTTTTAAAAACAAAAAATAAAAAATATTACGTGACCTGACTAAATCTTCACTACATTCCCACACTCAGTAAGCAGGATCCTATACATATCAGCTTTATGTTTCCTCTTTTCCTTTTACTTTTACTGCTCCTTATGAGAAATCACAAGAGTGCTTGGAATTTCCCTATCTCTTCACTGTGCTTGTTTTGCAGTGTAACATCATCTGCTCACTGTAATATTTGTATGTGTATGTGTTCAAATATATATATATATATATATAAATATATATATATATATAAATATATATATATATATATATATATATATATATATATATATATATATATATATATATATATATATATATATATATATATATATATAACAGTGGACCCCGGTTAACGATATTTTTTCACTCCAGAAGTATGTTCAGGTGCCAGTACTGACCGAATTTGTTCCCATAAGGAATATTGTGAAGTAGATTAGTCCATTTCAGACCCCCAAACATACACGTACAAACGCACTTATATAAATACACTTACATAATTGGTCGCATTCGGAGGTGATCGTTATGCGGGGGTCCACTGTATATATATATATGTTTGTGTGTGTGTATACACAAGTTTTGGAAAATGTAAAAGGTCTATTATTTCCAAAATTATCTATTATTGTTATGATCTGGAAAAATAGATCTTGGAAGAATGGACAAAGCCTGTTGCTTCCAGTATTGTCCAATATTATTACAAAACGTAATCTCATTATTTAGATTTAACTGACACTCTGCATTAACCCCATTATTCTGTTAAATCAAGGTTTGTATGTAATGTATGTATGTACACATTTATGTGTATTTATGTATGTACTGTATGTAACTTATTTAATATACACATGTATGAATGCACTATATGTATACATGCATGCATGTATGCAAGTAAATGTAGTGTAAATAAAAATGGTGTTAATTTAAGAGCACCCATGACTATTGTGGTAATTTAAAATAAACATTTAGCCAAACATCCTCACATCTTAATGTATTAAAACTTCTTGAAATAAACAGTAAATCAAAGAGTATATACACAACATATTAAATATGACATTTGGACCATGTGTCACCTGCAAAATATAAATAAGACACCAAGAGTCTGGACTTCAAAACTCTGGTTTTGATAAATATACTAAAACCAGATAAGAAAAGAAAATGGAGTAACAGTTACCCAGGCCATATATAACTCCATATAATTCTTGAATTCAGGAACTGACACAAAAGCTAATTAAGATAAAGCAAATGACTTACTGTAGATGGTATTTTTCCAAATACAGTGGTACCCTGAGTTTCAGCCACCTCCCATCTCAAACAATTATGTAAGTGTATTATTGTAAGTGCTTTTGTAAGTGTATTTTTGGGGGTCTGAAATGGACTAATCTAATTTACATTATTCCTTATGGGAACAAATTTGTTTGGTGACGGCACTCAAACAGCCTTCTGGAATGAATTATGGCTGAAACTTGGGGTTCCACTGTATTATATGTTACATGGTGCAGCAGCTATAAATACATACTGTATACAATGTGTGTTCACGAATTAAAGTTTTATAAATCTGAAAAAAAATACAGATATTCAGGAAGGCCTCATCCATCAAGCAGTCCAGATTTGTGGTGTTCTACTTATTGGTAATCTTTATCAAATATCTCAGCATAATATATAAACAACAAGCACCTGAAATAGTTAAGCTATGGAGGGACAATACATGTATCTGTTTATGTATACATTTCATATAATCTATTCAGGATAACTCATACTGTCTTTATGGACACTCAGTGTGGGGCTGCCATACTATGTACTCATACTGCACACTCAAACCTCACTCAACCACAAACATCAAGAACAAGAGATTTTCTTTAGACTAGCAATTCCAAGTAATGCGAGGAACGACAGTAACATTGCGAAGCACGTAGGTGGTTCATCCCACCAGAATGAGAGAAGTACTTACAGTTAACTGAGATTGGAGTCAGTGACATCATTTGTTAAACTAGAGTTTCTTGTTGTGTTTGTGTTCAGTACGGATGAATGAGGTGTGACTGTACTAACTTGGTGTAATAAAGAATTCACTTGTAATTACATATAAAACATTTTAAAATTATTAAAAATTCAACATCCACAATTGTTTTATATTATGCAATTACTACACTAACTTTTTCATTTTATAATCAGAATAGTATTCATAAATTTAAAATATGCAACAGCAATTAAATTAAAGGATATTTTGATGCACAATGTTCTTATAAAATTCTCATGATATAACGGAGGTGAAACTCGTGGCTTTATCAACTCTCCAGCATTGTAGTTGATTTAAAACTAATATATTTATTTGCATGTGTATGTGTGTGTATACACATGCACACACACACACACACACACATGCACATACGCACACACACAGCAACCAGTGAAGAAGCAGGGCCCAAGCTATGATTCGACCCCTGCAACCACAGTTAGGTGAGTACATATACATGCTCACACACCCACACACACACATGCACATATGCACACACACAGCGACCAGTGAAGAGGCAGGGCCCAAGCTATGATTCGACCCCTGCAACCACAGTTAGGTGAGTACATATACATGCTCACACGCTCTCACACACACACACACACGCACGCACCACGGTGAAGAGCGACCAGTGAAGAGGTGGGGCCAGGAGCTTGAACTCAACCCCTGCAAGCTCAACTAGGTGAGTACACACATGCACACACAAACAAGCAAACACACACACAACAGGCCTAGTGTCTCATTGACATGTGCCTAGTACAAAATGGTAACTAACTAACACAGGGATCAGTCCTAGGACCAGTGCTATTTTTGGTATATCTGAATGATATGACGGAAGGGACAGACTCAGAAGTGTCCCTGTTTGCAGATGATGTGAAATTAATGAGGAGAATTAAATCATATGAGGATCAGGCAGGACTACAGAGAGACCTGGACAAGCTGGAAGCTTGGTCCAGCAACTGGCTCCTCGAATTTAACCCCATCATATGCAAAGTCATGAAGATCAGGGAAGGGCAAAGAAGACTGCAGAGTATAGGCTAGGTGACCAAACACTGTAAACCTCACTCAAGGAAAAGGATTTTGGGGTGAGTATAATACCAAGCACATCTCCTGAGGTGCACATCAACCAGATAACTGCTGCAGCATATGGGCACCTTAGCAAACCTGAGAATAGCATTCTGACTCTGTACACCGTGTATGTCAGGCCCACAGCGGAGTATGCAGCACCAGTTTGGAACCCACACCTGGTCAAGCATGTCAGGAAATTAGAGAGAGTGCAAAGGTTTGCAACAAGGCTAGTTCCGGAGCTAAAGGAAATGTCCTATGAAGAAAGGTTAAGGGAAATCGGCCTGACGACACTGGAGGACAGGAGGTTTAGGGAAGACATGATAACGACATATAAAATACTACGAGAAATTGACAAGGTAGACAGAGACAGGATGTTCCAAAGATGGGACACAGAAATAAGGGGTCACGATTGGAAGACGAAGACTCAGACGAGTCGAAGAGGTGTTTGGAAGTATTTCTTTAGTCATGGAGTTGTCAGGAAGTGGAATAGTCTGGCAAGTGATGTAGTGGAGGCAGGAACCATACATAGTTCTAAGATGAGGTATGATAAAGCTCATGAAGCACAGGGAGAGAACCTAGTAATGATCAGTGAAGAGGCAGGGCCCCTGCAACCACAAATAGATGAGTACAAATTGGTGAATACACTCTCTCTTTCTCACTCATAAATTTGCAAATGGCCATTTTTTTTTTTTTAACATACATTATCTCTCAGTCCACAGCAGGATTCGAACCTGCACACACTGTACAAGAGCACACAGTACTTTTGTCACTCAGCCAGATCCCAGTGTAGTTCTGATAGTTGAATGGGTGGTTTCCCGTCCTCAAAAAATAGAACGGAAGGAATACTAGCAAAGTAACTAGAAATTGGGTCGAATTGGACATTGGAATTTGCCTAAAATAATACTCAAAATAAACATAATCACTGATGTGTAAATTGTGCCCAGACTGCTAACTTTGTGCCAACCACTCTCACAAGTCTGCTGGATGCTCAAGTTCATCAACCTCAAAGCCTCTTATACCCTATTCACTAACCATTGCCAGGATGATCCTCCCTCCTACCTTCCACCCCTGATCTATACACAAACTTGGTCACCTCACATTGCTTTAAAATATCCACACTCCAAATTCCCTGCATGATACTCACACCACACATTGTTCTCCAAAAATAACATCTCTGCTGCTTTCAGCCTCCTTTTCACTGAAGCATTCAAAACTCATGCCTCACACCCATATCAGAAAGTTTCACTTTCTGAAAGGAGGGCAGCCAGGATGAGGAATGAAAATGAGGTTGGAAAGGATTCCTATGCACCATGTAGAATTAAGAATGTGCAAGTATTACTTGCAACTACTAGACAGCCCACATATACATGAGAGAATCTTATGACAACGTTTCGGTCCAACTTGTAAATGATGCAAGTCAGACCAAAATGTCATCACTGGCTTCTCTCTTCTGTGTGTGGGTTATTTATGTATTGTTCTAGTCATGGTATTCTGCCTTTTTTTTTTTTTGAGCTACTAAGTAAGTTCTCTAGGATGGTATTGAGAACAAGTTGGGGGAAATTATAATAAGGGGTAACTTTGATAAACTTAACATGTCTCTTCATGGCACCTGGGAAGTACAATGCCTGCACTCTAAAGAAGGGGTTTGGGATATTTGCTGTTTAAAGTGACATCTAAACTGTTGTATTTGTTCACCTCTGAAAAGACAGTTGTAGTGTGAATGATGGTAAAGTGTTTCTTTTTTAAAAAGGGTTACCCACCCTTGGTGGGAGACAGCCAGTGTGTTAAATAAAAATTAAACAGACATAGAACTATAATGGACAATTCTATCATATATCAAAATATCTTAATATTTACAGTGCTTGTTAACCCTTTCATTCTCTCTCATGTAGATCTACATATGTGGGGTCAGTTTCTCTATCTAGAGCTATGTCTTAATCATAGTACCTTCAAATAAGCTAAGTGGTAAATTTTGGCCTATAGATATATATAAAAAAAAATGGATCTGTGCAATGGGGATGCAGGGTATAAAAAAAATCTTGGCCTACACAGTGCATGATAGGAACAACTAACCCTTACCTTGTATTTGGGCTAAAATAGCAACTTTGAGTATTCTAGGATAATTTTCATAGTTCTGTTAGCTGTTTCTTGGTACCAATTGATAAACTGGAAGACATTAATGAAATGGAGATGAATTTGGTTAGTTTCAGAGGGCAAGTGGCCTGAAAGATGTCTCAGTGATGGAAATACAGTGGAACCTTGATGTTTGAATGCACTGGACCTCAAATGAACAGCAACCTGGACAATCTTGTTCAGAAAAAAATGACCCGGACTTTGAACGTTTTTCTGGAGTCCGAAAGCACTGACTTGTTTACAATTCAGCTGTAAAAAAAACTTTACAGGAAAGCCGTTTCAAAATTGCTTTGAAGTGACCTTTGACACTGACCTAACTCTCAGAGACTTTTGGAAGAGTCAGTTCAACATCCTCCAGTGTCAGGGGGGCTTACAATTAAGCCTGGTAAATGCTGTTTTGGACATGAAACCTTTTTCAGTTCGAACACCACCTAGGAACCAATTACAGTGAACCCTCGTTTTTCATGATTAATCCATTCCAGAGAGTCTGCTGAAAGTCGATATTCATGAATGGCGAAACCATTTTCCCCTTAAGAAATAATGGAAATACAATTTATCCGTTCCAGACACCCAAAAATATTAAAAAAAAAAAAAATCCAAATTAAATAAAGATTTACATACAGAAAACAATGAGAAATCAAGTACATACATATATAAAATAATAATAACATTACACTTACCTTTATTGAAGACTTCTGGGTGGATGGAAGATGAGAGGAGGGGAGACGATGAAGGTACACTATTGTTCAGAAGGGGAATCCCCTTCCATAAAGACTTAGGTACCAAGTCCTTTTCCGGGATTACTTCCCTTCTGTCCAGAGAGCTCTGTTCCTGGCGTTTCTTTAACCCTTCCAGGGTTTCCAACATACTAGTACGACTTACTCACCAGGGTTTTTGACGTACTAGTACCCATAAATTCTAGCGCCCTCAAATCTAGTGAGAGAAAGCTGGTAGGCCTACATATGAAAGAATGGGTCTATGTGGTCAGTGTGCGCAGTATAAAAAAAATCCTGCAGCACACAGTGAGTAATGAGAAAAAAAACTTTGACAGTGTTTTTGGTTTAAAACAGTGACTTTGTACTGTATTTTCGTATGGTATTTATGATGGTATTCTAGTTTTCCTGGTCTGTTATAGAATGGAAGACATATTACAGAAATTGAGACGATTTTGATTGGTTTTACAATGAAAATTACCTTGAAATTGAGCTCAAAGTAGCAGAAATCTTCGATTTTTGCCAAAGTTCAAAGGTAAACATGTCAGCATAGTTGCTGATCCCTGTGTTGTATAGCATATTAGTATCATCCATGTGCTTTAGATAGGAGATCCCTTTTAGGCCTGTGACTTTGTGTGACGTCACAGGATGCGCATATGTACGTTCGTACCTCTGCCTCGGTCTCAGTCGGCGGTAGATCATCCAGACTAGGACAGGCAGAGGCTGGGCTCCATTTCCCATCATCACAGTCTGACAATATATGTTACCATCCAACAAGTGTGTCTACCTTCAACCCTCGATATCTCCATTTAAGAACCCCTACAATAAATGGTGGCAACGGAGGGCCTGTAATTCTGACGATTACAGCGATTTCTGGAGATAAATTTCGACCGAGCCTGCCATCTTGTGAGTAGGCCTACCGAGAAGGTTAACGCCAGCCAGCTATCTCAAGTCAGCTACTCTCTCAAGCTCCTACCAGCTTCTACACCATTCACTGGTCAGTCTCTTTGTATTAGTGTTTATCTGCTTATTTGCATCACTCCCGAGGGGTTGACCCGAGTTTACAAAATAAGCCAGCTTCCAGTCTGTGGTGGGGGAGTCAGAACAACGGAGCCCAGTCGAGCCTATTCTACTCCATCCAGTTCCTTTGCCTGCCAAGCCATCTTCCACCCCTGCTGTGCTCATCGTGTGAAGTTATCAAGCTATTCTGTGTGAAGGGTTAAGATAAGCCAGCTAGCAACTAACCCAGGTGTCTTACCCCAGTACTCAAGCAAGCCACGTGAGTAGTCTTCATCGCTTGTGATTCAAGCTCCAAGCAATTCTGAGTGCTCTTTTTCATCCTTGTGGTGTTGTGGTATTTCGTGGGTGTATTTTAAGCTAGCCAGCTTAGAATATCTTCGCGGCAGTGTGGCTGTCCTCAGTGAGGCTTACGCCATTCAACCCATAGGCCCAACCACCCACTCACCACGTGTCTCACCATTGTCCGGTCTTAGCCCTGTTTACCCACAAACCCAACCACTATCACTGTGTTGTGGTACTCACCCAATCTCTACCAGTGTTTTGGTGCACTACTAAGGGTTGTAGCACCATATTTTAAGGACCACATAGGGGGTCAAGAGCTAGAGTGTGTTTTGCGCCACCGTTGAAAGCCTCCTGTGTGTAGTCTATCGTCGATGTAAGCGCATCCTGTGACGTCACACAAAGTCACAGGCCTAAAAGGGATCTCCTATCTAAAGCACATGGATGATACTAATATGCTATACAACACAGGGATCAGCAACTATGCTGACAAACAAATCATGCTATGCATCCAATACAAGTCAACTGGTGAGTCTAATATTCTTTCACAAGTGCACTGATATTATTTATACCATTTCTACACTAATACAGTAGTCTGCATAACAGTAAATCTTCTATTTTTTGTGAGAATAAAAATTCAAAGTGGAAAGCAAAAGAATGTAAGAGGGGTGTGGGGACGTGACTAATGGACAGAGGAAATGTTATTTTAGTGCCAGGAATATCTTTCTTGTTTATTCTAGACCCTATTTGGAAATTGGCATCTTTTGAAATTTGTGTGATATTGGCAAAATTGCTAAATTCTGACCACTTTATTGGATAGTTGAAATCAGTAAATGGGTGGTTTCTTGTACTAATTCGACAGAAAAAATGGAGTTCTAGCAAAATAGTTATGATTTTTGTCGACTAGTATACTGGAATTGGCCGAAAATAGGGCTCAAAGTAGGCAAAATCGCCAATGCGTAAACATCGTAGAGACTGCTAACTTCGCGAAAGCATAATTCCGTAAGTTTTCCATCAAATTTCATACTTTTGGTGTCATTATGATTGGGGAAAGTTTCTCTATCTTTTCATAAGAAAAAAAGTTTTTTTTTTTTTTTTTGAAAATTTGGCGACCATGAGAACAAGTCTGGGAAAGGGCCTGTCAACCCTGAAAGGATTAAAAACATCCCTAAAATAGGACACAGCATTGTCATTGTACATGTTGCCAATACGGCCTGCAACAGCTTTGTCAGGGTGAAGCTCATCCATAAATGTTTGCACCTTTGTCCACATTGCACAAATGTCCTTAATCTTTGAAGAAGGCAACTTCCTCCTCCTCTAAAGCAATTTCCTAAGCTGTGACCTGTTGCTGTTGCAGATGAAGGTCTTGCAGCTCTACAGTGGTTAGCTCCTCATTGTGGTCCCATTCACCAACTCTTCCACATCCTTGAAACTCGCATCCAACCCCATGGAATTCCTCAATGCCACAATACTTTCCACAACTGGCATAGGCTCCTCAGGGTTAGCCCCAAACCCTTCAAAATCCCTCTCTTGTACACATTGTGGCCACAATTTTCTCCAAGCAGAGTTCAAAGTCCTGGAAGTTACTCCCTCCCAAGCTTTACCTATAAGGTTTATGCAATGGAGGATACTGAAGTGATCTTTCCAGAACTCTCTTAGGGCCAATTCAGTGTCTGAGGTCACTTCAAAGCACTTTTGAAACAATGCTTTGGTGTACAGTTTTTTGAAGTTTGAAATTACCTGCTGGTCCATGGGCTGGAAGAGAGGAGTGGTATTAGGGGGCAAGAACTTCACTTTGATGAAACAAAACTCCTGCACCATTTGCTCATTTGAGCAGGAGCATTGTCCATTACCAGGAGGCACTTGAGTTCCAATTTATTTTCCAGGAGGTATTTCTTCACACGGGGCCAAACACTTCATTAAACCAATCAAGGAAAATGTCCCTCATGACCCATGCCTTACTGTTAGCCTTCTACATCACAAATTAGCCTTGGCAACACTGTTTTTCTTGAACACTCTGGGATTTTCAGAGTGATACACCAGTACAAGCTTCGCTTTGAAATCCCCACTAGCATTACTACAAAACATGAGAGTTAGCCTGTCTTTCATAGGTTTGTGTCCTGGAAGTGCCATTTCCTCCTGCATGATGTAGGTCCTCTTTGGCATTTTCTTCCAAAACAGGCCTGTTTTGTCACAACTGAACACTTGTTGGGGTTTGAATTGTTCAATCTCTATGTACCCCTTGACCTCCTGAACATACTTTTCAGCCGCTTTTTGTCAGCACTTGCAGCCTCGCCATGCCTTACCACACTGTGTATGCCACTACACTTCTTAAATCTCTCAAACCAGCTTTTGCACTCATTGCAGGCATTTTCTTTATGAGATCGTCATGCAACTGCCTTGCCTTTTCACAAATTATCGGCTGCATAACACTATCTCCTGCTAACTGTTATGGGAAATCCACACCAACAATAACCTCTCCACTTCTTCGAGGATTTGCGATCTCTTTTTTGTCAGCATATCTACCTCCTTTGCAAAAACAGCTTCCTTGATTTCCTTTCCCTTCACCATGACTGAAGTGATGGTTGAATGGGGTTTGCCATACATCCTGGCAAGCTCTGAAATACGCACTCCACTTTCATATTTTTTCAATTATTTCTTTCTTTAATTCGATCGTGTTTCTCACTTTCTTTACCAAAGGACTGTCACTAGCTTTCTTTCGGCCCATGATGACTTATTTAGCAGTTGGAAGCACAAAAAGAATGGAATATTACTAAATGTATCGTACGAATGCGTGGGATGATGGTCACTCGCTGATAAACAATGGCACACTAAGTGTGAATGGTGCGGGAGACTGGCTTTGTGTGCGCGCTGATGCTGGACACATACCGGACGAGTGCCGAATCACGAGGCCAATCACGAACCGCGAAGCTATATTTTGCCAAAAAAAGTGGCCACCCTGTATACTTACATACTGTGCTGGCGTGCAGGTACACATTAAAATCACTAAGTCTCTCTCTACTCTTGATGCCACATTAATAATAATAATATCTTGGGTACATTAAATGTTGTATATTACATTAATATAGACATTTCCATTAATCCATCTATGATATTTTTCTTCAAAATTATGTAATAAACATGCTATGTAACATATAAACATGATAAATACACCCCACAGTAGAATAAATTAACATAAATATGAAATGTGGTAACTAGGAGACTTGTAGGAGTGACAGCAAGAATAATGTTTTCTCTAGTCCAACATCAGAGAAAATGTGTACACTATAATATTACTGGGGGTAACTAGAAAATTATTCCTTTCATATGCCTTCACTCAGAGTCATTTCTTTTAAAAATGGTGTTATATAAGAATGGGAGTATTCCTCTTTATTTATTCTACTGTATCAATGTGGAGACAACTTGTACACAATGTAAAGTGTTTGTATTATGGTATAATACAAATGTGTATGAGCGAAAACCAGACGCGTTCACCTGGTTTGTCGACATACTCTGCATCTCTTCTCTCTCGTGTACTCATTCTCTCACTCTCTCTCTCATTTATTTGTTTTATCTCATTTACTCACCTTTCACCCTACATTAACAATTAAATGGTCCAAATGTATATATATGTCCTCTCGCGTAGCGCCCCAAACGTATATACGTATACGTTTCCTTTTTCTTTTGTTCAACTTTGGCACGATAAGCCTGAGTCGCCTAAACATGAAAGAATGGGTGTGCGCACTCACTGTGTGCCATATGAAAAAAAATGGAGATGCCTGGGTACCATATGCTCTTTTTTCCTATTAAAAAAAAAACTATTTTTTTCTCTCAAAAAATTTGGGGCGCTATGCGAAAGAACGTATGTATACGTTTGGACCGTTTAAAGGTTAAGACTACAAATATTTTAAGGTAATTAATGAATGTACAGGACATTGGACCCCCAACTTACGATGGCTTCAACTTATGATAAAACCAACTTACGATGCTTGTCAGCATAAAAATTTGACCCCAACTTACGGTGAAAAACTCGACTTACATCATTCGTCCCGAACATGGCCGTCTGGCTTTAGCGCCTCAGCTGAGCTAGTGTGACATTGTTTACAAGCCAGGGCGGACGGTTGCACGCATACATTCGATAAATTTTGTATTATTCCAGTGTTTTTAGTGCTTGAAACTGCTAAATAAGCCACCATGGGCCCAAAGAAAGCTTATAGTGCCAACCCTGTGGTAAAAAGGGTGAGAAATACTATCGAAATACTATCATACCATGGTCAGCTGCTGCTGCACCACGGTCAGCTGTACTACTCGAAGATGTGGAGAGACTGTTGTTGGTGTGGCTTATCAAGAATACCGAGAAACAATTAACCCCAGAGGGTTAGCCACCCAGGATAACCCAAGAAAGTCAGTGTGTCATCGAGGACTGTCTAACTTATTTCCATTGGGGTCCTTAATCTTGTCCCCCAGGATGCAACCCACACCAGCCGACTAACAGCCAGGTGAACAGGAAAAAATGCCTGGAACTAGTGCTCATATTGGTGAATTTAAGGCCACCAAAGGTTGGTTTGAGAGATTTAAGAATCGTAGTGGCATAAACAGTGTGATAAGACCTGTTCTGGAAGAAAATGCCAAACAGGACCTACATTACTCAGGAGAAAAAGGCACTCCCAGGACACAGTGTCTCATCACTCATCACCACATCTTCAATAAAGGTAAGTGTCATTTATTCTTCATTTAGTACACTAGTACATGTATATGCACAATATATATTGTGCATGTATCCTTCTTTTTGTGTAGGAAAATGTATATTTCATGTGGTAAAAATTTTTTTTTTCATACTTTTGGGTGTCTTGAACGGATTAAATTGATTTCCATTATTTCTTATGGGGAAACTTAATTCGACTTACGATAATTTCGTCTTACGATATGCTCTCTGGAACGAATTAATATCGTAAGTCAGGGGTCCACTGTATATGTATTTTACGCATGGGTGGGGTGGGCTGACATGGCTGGCTACCATGCTTCCCAAACCTGACTTCCTACAAATAAATACTACTCACCTCTCACCCTACATTAAGACTACAAATATTATAAGGCAATTAATGAATGTACTGTGTATGTATTTTATCGCTCTGGGGCATTTTAAATGTCGTAGTATATTATGTGTGGGTGGGGTGGGGTGGGCTGACCTGGTTGGCTACCATACCTCCCACCTAACTTCCTACAAATAAATACGACTCACCTCTTACCCTACATTGAGACTACAAATATTTTAAGGTAAGTAATGGGTATAGTGTGTGTGTACTTTACTTTTTATTGTTTTTAATGCCTAGTTCTATTGCTAACTTAATATATGTTATTGTAAACTTATCTGGCATTTATATGCATTTATACGTGGCAAAAAAATGGTGTTCTGCTTTCCAGCAGTAGCCTGGAACCTAACCTGCCATGCAAGTGGGGTTCTACTGTGTATATATTTTTCTTCTTTCAACAAACCGGTCATATCCCACCAAGGCAGGGTGGCCCAAAAAGAACAACAAAAGCTTCTCTTTTTAACTTTGGTAATGTATACAGGAGAAGGGGTTACTAGCCCCTTGCTCCCGGCATTTTAGTCACTTCTTATGACACACTTGGCTCTTGGAGCAAGGATCTCTTTCCCTCCCCCCATACACACACACACACACATAGGGCCAAGCACTAAGAATCGACCCCTGCAACCACAATTAGGTGAGTACACACGTGTGCATGCACACATACATGCGCACACACGTGCACACACACGCACGCACATGCATGACATGATGGAAGGGATAGACTCAGAGGTGTCCCTGTTCACAGATGATGTGAAGTTAATGAGGAGAATTAAATCAGATGAGGATCATGCAAGACTTCAAAGAGACCTGGACAGACTGGACACCTGGTCCAGCAACTGGCTTCTCGAATTCAACCCTGCCAAGTGCAAAGTCATGAAGATCAGAGAAGGGCAAAGAAGACCACAGACAGAGTATAGGCTAGATGGCCAAACACTGCAAACCTCACTCAAGGAGAAAGATCTTGGGGTGAGTATAACACCAAGCACGAGCACATCTCCAGAAGCACACATCAACCAGATAACTGCTGCAGCATATGGGTGCCTGGAAAACCTGAGATTAGCATTCCAATACCTAAGTAAGGAATCTTTCAAGACACTGTACACTGGGTACGTCAGGCCCATACTGGAGTATGCAGCACTAGTTTGGAACCCGCACTGGGTCAAGCATGTTAAGAAATTAGAGAAAGTGCAAAGGTTTGCGACAAGGTTAATTCCAGAGGTAAGGGGAATGTCCTACGAAGAAAAGTTAAGGGAAATCGGCCTGACAACACTGGAGGACAGGAGGGTTAGGGGAGACATGATAATGACATACAAACTACTGCGTGGAATAGACAAGGCGGACAGACAAGATGTTCCAGAGGGGGGACACGGAAATGAGGGGTCACTCTTGGAAGTTGAAGACGCAGATGAGTCACAGGGATGTTACGAAGCATTTCTTCAGTCATCAGAGTGGTCAGGAAGTGGAACAGTCTGGCGAGTGATGTAGAGGCAGGAACCATACATAGCTTTACGATGAGGTATGATAAAGCTTAGGGAGAAAGAGGGCCTAGTAGCATTCAGTGAAGAGGCAGGGCCAGGAGCTAAGTCTCAACCCCTGCAACGACAATTAGGCGAGTACAATTAGGTGAGTACACACACACACACACACACACACATTTTATACAAGTAGCATTCTGACTTTTGGATTAATTTCATGACCATGGCCATTTGTAATCAATAAAGATGAGTATATAGTATTTAGCATGCATTACCAACTAGCTCCAATATCTTGCAACTTGTAACGTTTTATAATCATAAGCACTAGAGACTATCTTTCACCAGCACGCTCAATATTTATACCAGACACATTCAAATACACCAAACATTTGATATTCTATATAAAACTTGAGATGGCAGACAATATTAAAACATACAAACTTTAAAGTAAAGGTGCATTGAACATCCTCATATTGTTCGTTACAAATTTCCTACCAGTTGAAAATACACTGAAATAATATCTGATATTAAAATTCATAGATGCACTGAGTATTTAGTTATCACAGATCTAGAGGATGTAAATGTACTAGGAAAAGTTATTTGCATCTAGGATTCTTTCCCATGTTTCAAATTTCTACAGCACCACAAATAATGAAAAAGCCTAGTATGTGAGGCTCTGGACACATGCCAAGACATGTGTCACTGGGTATATGGTCATTATATAAAAGGCTGCACATCAATGTCAATACCTTAATTTCAGATCAATATTTGAGGAGTCAACAGGTAATAATTTACAAATAAAATAATCTTGTTTCCTCTAGGACTAGTAGCTCCCAACCTGTTATCTATGATGCTCCTCTTTTAGCATCTCTTAAGTTAATGATACCCAACTTGACAATAAAATACTGCATTCTATTCATGATCAAGTATTTATTAACACTATAAAACTGAACTATAGAATGAACTTTTTTGTTAAGAGTAAAGGAATTTAGATGGCTTTACGACCCCAAGAGGTTCTGACCCTAGGGTGGGGAACTTCTGAACTAGAGGAAAACAAAAATAAAGCCCATACCATCATATATAAGCTGTACACATGAACAAAGTAGCTTTCATATGGATATTTTAAAACCAGGTACTAAACAAATCCTCAACATGTAACCAACACTCATTTTTATGTAAGTTCAATCAGTTTCTCTGAATATATAAAAAGTTTTTATGTATCCTGGAAGTGATGGTAAATCTTCTTATATACCTATTTCAGTTATAGTAAAATCTATTTATTTCCAGTAGTAAAATGTCTCCATTTTGTTAAACCTCACGAGCATTATTTCTTTCACATAATTCCACACAATAGTTAATCAAATACCTCAGTCCAAAGTCACAGACACACAATGAAGACCAAGCTTGTATCTTTGTCTACATACTGACAATACTTCATTTTTCCTTAATATCAACAGTGAGATTCTTTAATATATTTAATTAACAAGTTGTAGAGTTATGAGTAAGAAATCAATTAAATAAAATTATGGATGAGTATAGATATACAAATCTTTGTTTTATATCACAATGCACAGCACATTAAATATATGTAGGAAATTACACTATAATGTGTATGATTAATACTAAAAAACTTTAAAAAAGTTATCTCAATGTCTGTGACCTAAATCTTCCTCATTCAGTTAACCAGGACATCCATCACTTCTAATTTTGATGCTCTATACTTTCTGTTGGTCATGGTGATGACAGTGGCAGAAGCAGCAACAGTAGCAGCTGCTGTTACCCTCAGATGCTGTTATTTATTTCAGCTACTGTTTATTTCAGTTGCTGCTGATGATTTCAACTACTGCTATAACTGTATTGCTGATTTCAGTTGCTTTTGCTGCTGCTTTCAGCTCATTAGAAGTGTTGAGAGACTTACAAATGACTCATGCTTGTACTGAGAAGCAAGGAAGCACATATACAGTAACAAAGGATGTGTGTGCATTTGCATATGGGGGAGTAAAGGAATAAAAGAACAAAAGGGAAAAAACAAGATTAAGAATGTGACAACATTAATCAAACAAATGGCTATGAAAAGTATACAGAAATTCAAGAGATCATAGTGTTGGTGTAGTGAGTGTTGTTAAAGAGGAGCTCTTAGTAGGAGACAAGATGATAGCCCCTTTATATAGTAAAGGGTACATAGCCTCCTTATATAGCAATGAGTGAGAAGCCCCTTTATGCAGGTATGGGTTGATAGTTTCTAAATTTATACAGCAAAGAGTGGGCAGCCCCTTATATAGGAAAGTGTAGGCAGCCACTTTGTATAGGAAAGTGTTATCAACTCATTTTTACAGAAAAGGGTGAGAGCCTCTTTATACAGCAAAAGGTGAAAAGCCCCTTTATACAGCTAAGTGAAAAGCCCCTTTATACAGCAAAGGGTGAGTAGCCCTTTTATATAGTAGAGAGAGGGTATGTAGCCCCATGTGTGTGCTTCCAGGTGTGACCAACTAACTTATCTAAAATGACAACAGCAAAACAAATAAGAAATGCTGAAGAACAATTATTTTCTCAATTGCTGTGCATAACAAAAGTCTTATACTATAAAACAATAATAATTTATATCATAAAAATATTATTTTCTGTACAATATCACAATACACATTTCACTTTCATTTAGCTTAAATTTAAAATCTCTGAAACTTCACACCATTAATTAGTGTACAATTCCTAGCTCTTCCTGTAGCTAAAATTTGTTTCCGAGAGGAATTATTTATACGAGCTTCAAACTCCTTCTATAAAAATCTAAAATTTTCAACTAGTGATAAAAATTAATTTTTACCTTTGGAAAGGTGGAAATCCTGACCATGAAAAAGCACGGAAGTTCACCCTAATTACAAAGTTTCCACAAGGTGAGTCATATAAAATAAGTGTACAGATACAAAACATAAAATATTTGAGTAAATTTATGTAAAGCTTCACCAATATGACTTTTTAAATGAAATTATATTTCATGTGGAAAGTTACCATTACTCCATGTACACACCAGCCTATAATTCATAACAGGAAAACCATGCTGTCTTGGCATACGGCATATACATAACTGACACAATGCTGTTATCACCTCTCATTAACAATCTTTAAATTTGTATCTACATAGACACATCTTGCTACCTCGGTAGCAATTGTCAAGAGGAATGAATGGTGTCATAATTAAAAAAACTGACCTAAGTAAAATCAACAAAAATTATGACCATGAAATATGATCTATAAACTAAAAGTTCAATGATGTATATACTGAATATTTCCAAAAATGAGAGATAAAAACTAAATAGTTTTAAAATATGCGTTCATTATGTGAAAATGTGAAAACTAACCCATATAAATTCCTTAAAAGAATCAGTAAACAGCTTAAAAGTTTAAATTTTATAAATAAAATATTCCTGTAATACAACACATTTGAAATATTGCATAAAAAATTGGCACAAATCATACTGCAGTTGTAGCTACAGCATCCATGTGCGCCTGGAGAATCTGTGAAAATGTACGCTTGTGGGCGGATGTTCGGACGGATGCAATGGCCCGGAATAAAGCCTCTGCACAGAGGTCCTCTGGTAGACGAGTGAGAAACTGGGCAGCTGTGGCAGTGCACTCCTGGTTGGTAAGTACTGTATCATACAACTTCAAGATGCCTAAATAAAAAGAAAATGCAAATATTACTGAATTTTTGTCACTTAAAAAAATTATAACTGTCAAAATATTTTTTGGCCTACACATTATATTTGCAAATGCAAAAGCTTAAAGAGGAATACGCAAAATAAAGAGACTAAAAAAAATTATGTGATAATCCAATGTTGAAAATCTGGCATTGTATTCTCCCAGCCCTCCACCGCATATACAGTATACAGTGGAACCTCTACTTATGAGTGCATCCATGTGCGAGTTTTTCCAGATATGAGCAGTCGCTCGGTCGATTTTGTGTTTCCAGATGCGAGTTGGCCTCAAGGGATGTTCCTTGACACTGGTAAAGGGCTCTTGATCTTCATTTTGGGAAATGCATGTCAGTTGTGTGTTGGACTATCTTATTGAAACTTGGGCTTTGTATGGTGGAAAGATGCTTCTTAATGTACACCAAAAATGAAAGAAATTAGACCATAAATAACGGAGTTCACTTCTCAACCATTAGCCTCCCCTTAGCGGTATATTTTCGTATGGTTTTTATGGCTGTATTTTCGTTTTTTTTTCTCAGTTGATAGGATGGAAGATATACTACAGAAATAGATATGATTTTGATTGGTTTCATGATGAAAAGTACCTTGAAACTGAGCTCAAAGTAGCAGAAATGTTTGATTCTTTGGCGATGTTCAAGAGTGAACAAATGATGTCACCATCCAATACCTGTCCGATTGGCACTGCCCTCAGCCCTCACATATTGGAAAGCTCTTCAACATGCTAGCAGAAGTAGGAGCAGACATCACGAGGTAGCAGTGGCAGACAACATGAAGCAGCAGTGGCAGACAACATGAAGCAGCAGTAGCAGACCTTCTTGTACCCTATACTATAAGTGAGTTTCCAAAGGCCACCATGAGATGGCAGTCCACTCCACTCGCGGTGGAGGGAATTCTCGTGTTTTCCCTAAGTTTCATGCAGTTATTTTGTGAAATTTCTTGTTTCTAACCATGGGTCCTAAGAAAGCAATTGTAAAGGACAGTGCTGAGAAGAAAAAAACTAGGTGGAGGGTTAAGGACTTGGCCAGGCAGTACCAGCATACCACTTCATGATATATACAATAGTAAAGCAGGAGGAGTCAGTGACAAAGTGTAGCATTAAGAGTGTAGCAATTATAAGTCACACTCTGACTTTTTTGGGTTATCCTAGGTTCTCTACACACGTAGTCAGGAGCAGGAATGGCCGCTGTAGTGCCCCTATAAACCTCAACAACAATAATGGCCGCTGTCACCACCACTAGCCACATATGTAATGACATGTATTTTATTCATTCTACTGTATATATCATGTTTCTATGTTATTAATATTGTTTATTATGTCATATTAGATGAATTGTGATAGATAAATAAAGTGTAGAGTTGATATTAGGTAAATTATTGAAGTATTTTGTCATGCCTGGAATTCCACTGGAACGAATTAATTCCATTTCAGTTAATTTAAATGAGGAAAACTGAATCTGCAAACGAGCAAATCCAGATGCGAGCAAGGTCATGGAACGGATTAAACTTGTAAGTAGAGGTTCCACTGTACAGTCATAACTGAAGCAGTCATCCACATTTCAAAGCTGAAATGATTTTTTCGGAAGAAATGTCAAGATTTAATTGTACTGAAAATAAGTAATATCTGAGAAAACTGGATTTTTTCCAAAATTCTGATGTCTCAATTTAAATTGAGAGCATTGAAAATATTTTGGCAAATGGTATTCAGGAATGTTTGTACAAGTTTGGTGTACATATTGCCACTTATATGTTTTTGTAGCACTGCATAGAGATGACAACTGAGCTCACCAGTTGACTGAAAAATCAAGGGTCCACAGGGTGGTAAAAGACTAGTTCAGCAAAAAGGTCACTTTTATGAACAGACAAGTTCAGAAACCAAATGTAAAAAATCATAATATTCCTACACTTTGATTACTTAATAATTACCCATATAAATTTTAATATGATAATAAATTGTGCAAATACAGTGGACCCTTGGTTTTCGTGAGTCTCGGTTTTCATGAATTTTGGTTATCTGCAACTTTTTTCGTCAAAATACATGTATAGCCTTGGTTTTCTTGATTTCCCTTGGATTTTGGCAGTCATACAGAACGTGTCCCAGTGGAAGAGAGAGGGAAGAATGTGCTTTCTTCAGTGATTCAATGATTCTACGATATGTACGATACTAAAGCAGCAGGACTCAATAAAGGCTATAGTGCCAGCCAGTGATAAAGTGTAGCATTAACAGTGTAGCAAGAACATGTATGTTAAGTGATTAAGCAACAGAAAAAGGACGACATGAAACTTAACTCCTCCAATGTTATTGGAGGTATATAGGGCCACTGACAACACTGCCTCTGCTGCCACCTCCACCACCACTAATATATATACGGCTTATGCTGTCAGTGGCCCTTATAAACCCAACAATAACACCACCACCACTTACTCCTCATATATGTATTGACATATTTTATTCATTCTAGAGTATGTATCATGTTTCTGTGTTATTATTATTGTTTATTATGTCATATTAGATGAATTGTGATAGATAAATAATCCGTAGAGTTGATATTAGTGTCATATTCAAGCATTTTGTCCTGTCTCCAAACAATTAACTTGCCTCCCTTCCCTGTCTTCCATGCTCCAACAGAGTCTTCAATAAAGGTAAGTGTGATGTTAAATGTTCATTTAGAGTAGGGCCCCACTTATACGGGGGGTTAGGTTCCAGGCTATCGCCGGAAAGCAGACATCGCCGGAAAGCAGAACGCCATTTTTTCCATTTATAAATGCATATAAATGCCAGACAAAATTATATTAAATTATATTAAGTTAGTAATAGAACTAGGCATTAAAAACACACAAAGTAAAATACATTCACAGTACATTCATTACTTATCTTAAAGTATTTTTAATCTTAATGTAGGGAGAGAGGTGAGTAGTAGGAAGTCAGGTGTAGGTAGCACTGGCTCCCTGCCTCATACTCAATATACGATATTTAAAACATCCCAGAGTTAAAATACACATACAGTACACTCACTATTTATCTTAAAATATGTGTAGTCTTAATGTAAGAAGAGAGGTGAGTAGTATTTATTTGTAGGTAGGTGTAGCCCACCTGGGCTATACCTACCATCTACCTACACTTTGGCCCAGAGCCATATTATTAGCATCAACATACCTTGTTCACTGAATTTAATCGTTTCTAATAACTACCTTTAGATGCCATCACAAACGAAGGGAGAAGTAATGAATAATTCATGCCGAAAATTTTAAACAAAAGCAGAGTGGGGGAGTAACTGGGCCAAACGCAGATTCATACATATTTTCTCTGGTGGCTGAGCAGAGAAAACGTAATGTTGTCCCTCTGCCTGGCTACCACACAGGTCCACAAGTATTATTATCAGAACACATATAAAATATGCAATAAATGCCAGACAACAAGTTTACACTTACTTATATTAACCATTTTAGGGTCCACAGGCCCTCTCAGAGACTTGTTCTCAGGGTCCCCCAAATTTAAAAAAAAAAAAAAAAATTTTCTTATGAAAAGATAGAAAATCTTTTCCCGATCATAATGACACCAAAAGTATGAAATTTGATGGAAAACTTACGGAATTATGCTCTCGCGAAGTTAACGGTCTCGACGATGTTTACCCATCGGCGATTTTGCCCACTTTAAGCCCTATTTTCGGCCAATTCCAATGTACTAGTCGAAACAAATCATAACTTTTTCACTAGAACTCCATTTTTTATATCGAATGAGTACAAGAGACCACCAATTTACCGATTTCAACTATCCAATACAGTGGTCAGAATTTTGCAATTTTGCAAATTTCACACAAATTTCAAAAGATGCCAATTTTCAAATAGGGTCCAGAATAAACAAGAAAGACATTCCTGGCACTAAAATAACATTTCCTCTGTTCATTAGTCACGTCCCCACACCCCTCTTACATTCTTTTGCTTTCCACTTTGAATTTTTATTCTCACAAAAAAATAGAAGACTTACTGTTATGCAGACTACTGCATTAGTGTAGAAATGGTATAAATAATATCAGCGCACTTGTGAAAGAATATTAGACTCACCAGTTGACATGTATTTGACGCTTAGCATGATTTGTTTACTTTTGAACTTTGGTAAAAATCGAACATTTCTGCTACTCTGAGCTCAATTTCAAGGTACTTTTCATTGTAAAACCAGTCAAAATCATCTCAATTTCTGTAATATGTCTTCCATTCTATACAATGAGACCAGGAAAACTAGAATACAACAATAAATACCATACGAAAATATATTGCAAAGTCGCTGTTTTAATCCAAAAACACGGTCAAAGTTTTTTTTTTCTCATTACGCACTGTGTGCTGCAGAATTTTTTTTTATACTGCGCACACTGACCAATAGAAATAGGCAAAAAAAAAAAAAAAAAAAAAACACAATAAAAGGTAAGATACACACAGAGTACACTTATTACTTACCTTAAAATATTAATACAGTGGTCCCTCATTTATCGTCGTTAATCCGTTTCTGGAAGTGCGACGATTATCGAAATAGACGATTTTCAAATCAATTTTCCCCATAAGAAATAATGTAAATACAATTAATCCGTTCCTGACACCCAGAAGTATTAAAACAAAAAAAAAAAATTTATATGAAATATAGATGTAGTACATAAACAATACAATGGGACATAATGAATGAAACATTAACAGCATAACACTTACCTTTATTGGCGATTCTTCTTAGTGTATGGAAGTCTGGAGGAGGAGAGACATTGAATTACTGTTTGGAAGGAGAATCCCCTTCCATCAACACCTCAGGTGCCAAGTCCTTTTCTGGGGTTACTTCTCTTCTCTGTTTCTTAATGCCACTAGGACCAGCTTGAGAGTCACTGGAGTCCAGTCTCACAAAAAAAAAGTGTCCAGAGAGCTCGGTTTCTGGTGTCTCTTTAAAACTTCTCTAAAATGGGTCAAGACTTTGTCACTGT